AAAAACACCATCCCTTTTGCACACGCTTGAAATCACATCTTACTTGATTGTAATTGATTACGGTCACATCAAATAATATTTCATTCCGTAAACCAAACACCTTCAAAACATGGTCATTCTCCTGAAACTCTGGAAGAACTTTGACATATGTGGCAGGTCTGTGGGTCGGTTAGTGGAGAGTGCATGTATCCAGGTGACTCAGTGGGCAGGGCTGATTTATGGAGCAGCTCAGCGCTCCAAGCCGCAGTCTCACACTGGACTCCAGGGGGCTGTGTGATTAGAGACGGAGGAGACGAGCCACACTCACACTAGGCCCCATTTGGTTCTGATTACACGCCTCTGTCACACCCCCTCAACACACACACACACTCATTCACACATACGCACACTTACAGATGAACGTTAAGTGGGCTGCCCTATATTCGCTGCGGTTAACCATGGTTTTAATTAATATGTGCCAAATGGAAACACTTTTTCATAAGTCATGAGAAGATCCATTATTGCCCATAACATTTATATCATATATTGTTTATGACCAAATCAGTTTCTTAACTAAAAAAAAGCATTCTATTTTTAGGGTTAGATGAGTTTTCCTCTGCAAAAAAAACGACTCCGTTTACATGTTTAATTAGTTAGGATAGAATAGATTCATGTATGCATGTTCTATTTCAATTAAAATTATTTTTTCTCTACAATGAAACCCCCAGCTTGAAACGATTTGCAATAACTTTTGGGGACTTTTTGCTCGTGCTGGGTTAGAAACAAAACTTTTAATTCTGACATACCACATGAGACTCATCAATAAATGTTTTATTTTTACTTGATTTATTGTATAGAGAAAGCACACAATAAAAAAACAACAATTAGCAGTGCCAGAACCTACAACAATGTCGTCAATATCCAACCTACAAATTATTATTTTTAAAAAGGCATTCGCATCACATTAAACTTGATCTTGCGTTGGAGAATTGACAACTTTCAATGATGACTTCTGATGACTACTGTTGTTGTGATATCCTGTAGGTCCATACAAAAATAAACTGAATTCAGCTGAATCTTGTTACATTTCTGGATTTCTTCGACACATAAAATAACTTGTACAATCAGAGCGCTACCTGTTATTCTCCTGATTGTCCTGCAGATGTTTCCCAATCAGAGTCATGACCTCTCTGCCAGTGAGTGAGACAGAGCCCAGGCCCCTGTGCTCCCACCACACCCGCACACGTCCCACTGATACCACAATATAGTCAGCGTAATGAGCGGAAATCAGCGCACTCTTCCTGACACAAACGCCTTAGTCTCATCTGCAAGTCTTAAGATACTACTGACGAGTATTACAGATGTCTGCTCTTGTTTGTAAGCAAGTCGACCACACGTCTCTCAAGTATGACAGCAGATTATAGTTCCCAAACCTAAACTGAAAGACGTATTTAAGTCAGTGAAAATATCTCAGTGAAAAATGTCATCTGACTTGCTGTAAGTCTTATCTTATCGTATGTTTATTTTCTACTCTGTGCTTTTTACAAGTTTTTATTTCCACTACAGGTTTTTTGCCACATGGTGATTGACCTGGGATAACAATACAATACAATAAACAAAATACAAAAACAGTGTGAAAGGTTGGCAAGTTTTTCAGACCTGTGCCGGATTTTTACAATGGGAAAATAGGAATGTGTTACATGGCAGTACACCCAATACCAGGGAATGGCATTTTAATAAACTGCAGCCACGAGGGCAACTTTATAAAGGAAAGAGCAGCACATGCAAAAGCCCAAACCTATTATGCCAAAGTACTACTTGTCAGAAGTTGTATATGTTTTATAACCTTCTTCTACTGACTCACAACAGGCTATAAACCAGTTTGGTCTAAATTACTGCTAATTTACTAATTTGGGTGTGTCCCGAGGTTTTCGATCGATATTCTTGTGTTTTTTTGAGCAGTGGCAATGAGGCTTCTGTCACATTGTCTGGTGTTTTTCTTATATGATTTTTTTTTTCAGGGTTATGCACTTTGAAGTTGCCACCAATCGATTATGTGATTTTCCTTTTTAATGTCAGAAATGATATGAATGAATGATCTTCAGCTATAATCATGCCTCTTTAAGTGGCCTATGTTTATTATACACTGTCCCTGTAAAGAAAATAAAAAAAAACTAAAATCCATACCACCTTATTGTCCCAACAAGGCAAGGGCCCCCATGGTGCATTATGGGAGCTGGTGTCACTGTCTGAGAGGCCGTTGTGATGTGTGGCTTGGTCCCCAGCAGCAGGTCAGGGTTATACAGTCAGCAGGAAATGACCCAAAACATGAGTACACTGAGGATGAAAAATTAACCCTTTGTACTGCTAGGGTTCTTCTTGAAAGAGAACTACTTGATGAGATGTAATTACCTTGTTAACATGGTTTGTTAACATGGTTTGTTAACATGGTTTGTTAACAGAGTTTGTTAACATTTCGGTTTCGGCTGCAGAGCTGTCACCCAGCTTGGTGACGTGTCACTGATCAGCTGTTGTTACTTCCTGATTCATTGTTTTTCAAGAATCCAAACAGTAAAGAGTCCAAAAGCAGAAAAGTACATTATTTGACCTTTAGACTCTGTTGAGCAGAGATTGAACCAATGAATGAGCTTTTTATTTCAGTTTTTCAGATAAACCCTAGACCTGGAATCTGAAAATTGGCATGAACTCTATAGTTTTATTATAATCAAAATAGAAAAACATGTAGTTGTACCAGTGAGATTATTCATTGATGTCGGCCTGATTTCTGAGCTTGTGCAGTGGATGAGTCAGTGTGTACTTTTTGGAGAAAAGTAGTAAAAGTGTTCTTACCCAGTTGCTACTGAATGATGTAATCCTCTAAAGTGAATGAAGTCACAAAAGTGTATACGTGAGCAGACCTGAAGCACGTAAGAATATTTGGAATAGTTGTGCCGTAGTGCTCTAATTATAGCCTTTGCGAGACATTTCCACTCCCATCCCAACACTTGTGGCTTCCAGGTTGAAACAATGGACCCCCCTGGACCTCTTCCCCTCCCACTCGAAGCGACTGCTGCCTCCCTAAAGGTGTGTGTGCGTGGTTCAGACTAGATCTGGCCTCTGGAGTCCCATAAGGAAGAGCCGATTACTAAGAAAATCAAGCACTTTCCAACATGGCGTCTCGGTGATAGTGACACTACACTGGGCAGACAGGATGTGGCTCTTTTTTGGAGTTTATCAGAGGTGGCAAAAGGACTAGTCTAAACTACATAAGTAAATGTAAGGATGCAAGTATAACAATCAACTCAGTAAATGCATAGGAAGTATGCCCTTACTTTAGCACAGTACAAGCTTGTGTAAAAGGGGTAAAAGTAAAATGAGTAATTGACGAACAACATATTTATTTGACACAATTTAGGCATGTAAACACCATTCATTGTAGAAATGTTGTAAAATAGCAAAATGCTGCCAAACCTTTAGCCGAATTTAGAAGCGCAGCTAACCACAATCAGTTAATTCCCTTAGAGCATAGCTTACCACTTCAAACCTGTTTTCACGAGTTGCCGCCATCTATAAAGAAACTACTGGTGGTAATGTTAAATAAATACATATATTTGGGTTTAAATACAAAAGTAAAAGTACTGTACTGATAACATACTGCTACCAAGTAAAAAATGATAACTATCCACTTGTTGTGATTTATTTGCATAATTTGCCGCAAATCATTGTGAGATATGTCAGTTATGTAAGTGGTTTTGGAGCATCAACAGCCAGCCTGCGTCAGTCTGTGTGCCTATCAGTGGCCCATCCTGCTGCCACGCTCTGGGGCATGTTTGTCTATACTCCGATACAAACACAGGTTGTAGAGGTGAGTTTGGTGCATCCTGTTTTCATGTGGTTGCGACCTTGACGTTTGTCATTTTTCCTCAAGTGTCCTGGTAACAAAAGACCTCAGATAATGTGTCAAAGTCTATCGCATACTGCTCTATTCTTGTATAGCTTTGAAAAGTAATGGCAAGATAAAAGAACTGTCAACAATGGTCAAATATGCAAGTTTCACAAATTATTTCACACACTTTACTTATTTTTATCTATTTTATTTATTTGAATGGGACAGTGCATGTCAATGAACAGACACATTAAAAGCATGAATGTAAACATGCCAGATTATAGTCAAAATAATGTCCATCTTGTAGTCCCATAGGGTTAGGGTCACAAATACGGAAACATATAACAGAAACAAAAGAAGAAAATAACAATCAAAAAAACTGCTTTCATTCTGCTACAGGCCACCCTTTAGTAGTCCACCAAAATCCACAATGTTACAGTCCACATTATTGTACACACACAACAATTGCACACATCAGATTATTGCACACATCCCGTCACTGCACACATCAGATTATTGCACACATCTCGTCACTGCACACATCAGATTATTGCACACATCTCGTTACTGCACACATCCCCTTACAATCATTAAGTAATGTTTCTTCAATCTTCAATGATAACATTATTGACCCCCCGTTGGTTCTTGTAGAGACAAAATCATCAATTATTATATTTACTCCCATGTTTGAATTTAGTTTCTGTTGCGATTGTAATATGTATTGTATTGTAATAATATAGTATAGTAATAATAATAAGTATTCTATTAGTGTGAAAATAAGACATTGGTGACTTTGGAATTTATTTCTAGAAAAAAAAAAGACTGTTTGTGGGCATCTTGAGATAGATTAGTTTCCTTTTTTTAGGGTTTTAAGCCGCTAAAAAAAGATACAAAAATAGAGGACACTGCAAAAATATGACAATAGTTAGTTGTAAAACCAGGCTGTGGATACGTTTATAAATACATAGAATAACATCTTGAAAATTTTATCTAAAAGTGGTCAAGCATATTGGCCGTCAGTTTTCTGGTTTACAAAAGTTGGCATTGGGTGCCGGTATGTGCTTTCTCCAACCATGATTCCCAGTTCAGTTTATATTGTATGTTTGTGAGTCAATGTCCATCTCTTTTGTGGCAGACTTCCAGCGGTGCTCGGGCCAGTGAGTGGTCTGGGCCTCACATCCCTCTTCAATCAAACACAAACACACATGTCTGGCCAGCCTTCACCCACGCTATCTTTCCCTGGACCCTCATGCCAGATGCACACACCCTGCCCTCTCCCTCAGCATTCCTCCTCAGCCTTCCCGCTCCCCCACCGCCTCCCTCTGCGCATCACATTGTCTTTCCGCTGGCTCTCCATCTTTCTCTACTTCCTGTGTCCTGCTCCTTGTGCCCCTTCCTCCGCCCCCTCCTCCTCGAGCCCTCTTCGCTGGCCGCCTCTCTCTCTTCGCGACGTGACTTTGAGCACAGTCCGTTGAGCCGTTGCCAATAAACCAGGGCAGAATTTGGTTGGAGATGTGCTCCAGTGGTGTCAATACAAAACAGCTGGCTATATTAAACTGGAAGGTCAGAACCAGAACAAAAACAGTAACGGTTTGCCATAATCAAATCATGTCGTGGATACCATGGTTTGTGTTGTGAATTTAATGCCATGGTCCATTTTAACCATGTTAGTTTTCCCCTCTCATACATGTATTGCTTTCTTTGACACCTTTTCCCTTGTTCAGTGATTCAAGGATATTTCGGCTGCAAATATTTTGGCAGTTAACTTGATCTGAAATATGTGACAATGTTTACAGTGACTATCATTGAAGTTGTGATATTGAAAGTTGAAAAATCATTGAAACTTAAATTAACCATATTGTGAATGCTTGGAGCAGAAGTTTAAAAAGATTACAAACATTTGAGATTTTGAATGTTTTGAATGATCACTATATATATCATCACTATCTCTTCACTATATAGAATACTTGAATTAAAAAAATTGATTATTTAAAGCTTGGGTACCCAATTCTAAAATCCGAGACAGTTAACTGTCTATAGTTATCAATGCATGACATTTTTGGCCTCTGTCATATCTATGAATGAGCTTATTCGGACAGAAATGTGAAAAAGAGAAGACCACCCTCACTCAACTCTGAGCCCAAAACATCTGACATTTTTTCCTGAATTTCACCATTGTGAGATCCATAAAGTAGATGGATGGATAGATAGATAGATAGATAGATAGATAGATAGATAGATAGATAGATAGATAGATAGATAGATAGATAGATAGATAGATAGATAGATAGATACTGTATGGATCTTTAAAGTCAGGTGTCCAGTAGCAGCAAAAACAAAAAATATAATTGATCATTCTAAAAAGCATAAAGTATCATCATCTCATCTCATTTCTCACTGAAACTCACAGGGATCTTTCTTCTTAAGTGTGAGAATATACAAAGTATCTTACAAGTTGAATACAGCAGGTTGTGGTCTGAATTTTCCACAAAATGTCACTTGTTTGTCTGTCGAAGGGAACATGGTTAGGGATCCCATCTTTGATGTTAGTTAAAGGGTAGTTATTATCATCTATTTTACAAGATATTCTACTAAACAAAAACAATGTTCTGCTATTCCACCAGCGTGTACATTATAGCTGAATGTTTGAGCCATTATCAATATTTACAACTTGCGACGACACTGCGCTCATGACATTGAATGTAATCGTGGGAATGAAAGACGACCCCACGAGAGCTGGGACCGGACAAGCTGCAGCTGGCACAGGAAGCCCCCATGATGCCACTGGAGAACGAGCATGAGAGCAATCCAAACAGTATTCTCAACATACACCAGACCAAAGTCCATATACACTTACTATATACACATGTGGCACAGTCCAGACATTTTATCAGAGTCTGAGTTGGAAGACGTCAGCTCATCCTTCCCTCTCTGTTTACCCGTACTGTAAACAGCCAGCCTGCCACTGGGACTAATGGGCTCCTAATCTACAGATGGATGACACACACATGTTGTCTTCCCGAGAGCCCAAATACACAATAACCTTTGAGGGCCACATGTCCAGAGGGAAAAATATATAAAAATAAAAATGTCCGGATTGTCCTATTAATTATCCATCAGCTCCATTGATTATGTTACTTTAAAGCTCAAGTATCTAAAGTTGGAGATTTTATGATTTTTTTTCTTTTTATATTAAAGATAGAGATTTTACACTGCTTCTTTTTATGCTAGAGTTAGAGATTTGATTGTATTTTATTTTGTTTTAGCATAGAGTTATTAATCATGTATCTTCTTCTGTGTGCTCCTCATTCCTACTGTTCTGTAACTTGTTCTGCAACACTGAAATTTCCCCACTCTGGGACAAATAAAGGATTTCTTAATATTAACTGTTTTTCTCCTTAATGAACCTCAACATGCTAGTGCACAAGAAAGAGCCATCAAAGTCAATATTTTGAACGCTTTGGGCTGAGAGGTGATTGGCTGTGCAGAATGGACCTCCATTTTCCGTCTGATTTTTTTTTACTAGTCTGAGATGGATGTAATCATGTAATCATGGGCGACACGGATAGCACTCTCGCCTCTCAACAAAAAGGTTCTGGGTTCGAATCCCGCTCGGAACAGGGCCGTTCTGAGTGGAGTTTGCATGTTCTCCCTGTGTCTGCGTAGGTTTCCTCCGCATACTCCGGTTTCCCGGAGTATGCGGGTAGTAGTAGTATGTAGTAGTAGTAGTATGAGTACTAAAAACATGTGCAATAGTTCAGGGTGAATGAATGAGTGTTTGTGAGTGCAACAATAGATGCAAATCAGCTCAAGGCTACAATACGGAGTAATGTTTTCATTAACATGTACTGTCCCAACCAAATAAACAATAAATAAATGTGTTTCATTTTTGTGGCTTGAAAGTTAGGTACCTTAGCTTTGAGTTTGAACCTCAAAAGTGTTCTGGCTGTATGAAATGGCTTGCCAGCTAACGGGTGATCATCATTCATTTTGGTTATATATATATGGGTTATGTTGATTCTCTTGGAGAAGTATATGGTCTATGAACCGTAAATGGAAAATAGTACTTTTTATTATCTACCCTCGTAATCATATTGTATGAACCAGTGCTAGGGGTCAGCTGATCGCCACATACAACCAATGTTCAATCATTGCAAAAAAACATGCTTAAATCAACTGGATTTATTGCAATTTAAGTCATGAGGAGTCTTTTTCCTCATTTCAACAGTGAGCGTGGTTCCCCCTTAAAAACAAGATATTACTTGTACTTGTCCCATTGGCAAATCATGTTTTAAAACCAACAAAATTTACAAGATAATTTTGAACAAACAGATGCAAGAATTCTTGGCTTGTTTTTGTAATTTATTTGCAGTGACTGATTGAGCCTAAACTTGGATTTGAAAATGATTGAAAATAAGAAATGACCAGGTGTACTTTTTGGGTGTAGATACTTTTAATTTAAAAGAGGAAATAGGGCCAATACTTTCACATGGTACAACTTCATTCCAAACTGTTAGCTAAATAATGATCATTACTCATTGTCAGAGTTTTTCCAACCACACATACACACTCAAAGTGAAAGTGATGAAGTACTTTGAAATGTATTTCCCTGTCAAACTTACTAATGGCTTGCTTTTAAGAAGGTAACTCCACACTGTGAAGGTAATGGACACTCTGCACTTACTAGTTCACTTCCTTTTGTCAATATAGGCACAGGTCTCACTAGAGTCACCAAGCACAGTAGCATCAGTGCTTTTGGCACCTTCACACATGTAGTCTTTCACACAAACACCACGCTGCTCCTCATGAAATCACTCTTTTAGCTCACAGTTTGAGCCTGTAGTAATTCATTCACTTTTACCACATCACCTTCTGCACTGTAATTGTTTGGATGCCAGCTCATTAGTTTGTCAGACTTCCCCCTGCAGGCCCTTAGTGCTATAAAGTCAGTGTTCCAGTTTTCCCCTTGCAGATAAAGATCCTGTGGTGTTGGGGCTGTATGTGTATGTGGCCAAGCAGCTCTGTCCAGGCTTGTCTGGCCTCTGCACCTCTCCTCTGAGCTCAAATTTACGATGTAAAGTCCCTTCTTATATTATAGTTGGTTGCTTCCAACATCTGTGAATGACTAATTCATGCTAATGAATGCCAACCCTGTTGCATTTATTAGAAATACGTTGTTTATTTAGTGTGGTGCCAATGCGTAGTGTTATTTAAGTGATCGGGTGGATTTTAACACTTGATGCCCTTTCGTTCACAACAAGAAGCCAATGCCTATGTGGGAAGAGGTGTCTAAGCAGTGTATTGCAGGCAAAGAGCAACAGGATGGGTGGACTTGTCGGGGCAGGTGCCCACATGTTAGTCAATCGGCAGCAGGAAATTGCACTGGTGCACACGCACACACATGGCCTCACAGTTTATCACACCAGCCTCCTCAACATTGTTGATTTTAAGTTCTTACTCTTTGAATGTCAAGAGAACGAGGGTGATGATGTTGTTAAATATACACATGCTTGCTAATGTGCAGATATAGAGCTCCTTTAATGTTTCTTATCACTGGGAGCTGTCATTGCTCCTGCTCTGGAGCCTTTTATGAGAATACAGCTCTCTTTTAAATGGCTTGGCTCTCAAAAACCCACCTTTCAAATGTTTTTGTCTTTGTGCTGGACTGCCCTTCGCTGACCCCGTCGTCTGAGTATTGCAACAATAATCCTGACACATTACTTAACTGTACAAATACCTGTGTGAATAACTCAGCTGCTTTATATCTCCACTTTTTCAGAGCTGTCAGGAGCAGAACCAGCCATAACAGCGGCTGATCACCAGGGAGTTGGGTTGGGAAAGAAATTCACAGAAAGAAAGGAGAGTACCATATGTGGGTGAGGAGCATGTTCTCATACAAGCTGTTTTTCTTTTGTTTCAGCTGCACAGCCCCACCTTAAAGAGGACAGGGAGCAGGGGAGCGCACTGGACAGAGGAGGGGAGATGGGAATTCATTGAAAACTTGGGCATAATGTGCTCTGGGCAGGCTCAGGTCCAGCTGTTTTCCATTCAGTGGGAGTCCGAGCAATGAAATGTAGCAGGGGTGGGATCGGCCAAGGGGAGAGGAGGAGAGGAACATGACACAGAGAGGTGAAATTAAAGGCAAGTCCATCCTATTGTTAATAGATAATACAGAACTGTATGTGTCACTGTTGATAGACTTTATTATATTTACTGCAATTTCAACATCTCAAGTTAAGATGACCAAAAACACAAAATGTTTACCAATTCCATCCATCCATCCATTTTCTACCCTTTAATCCATTTCTGGGTCAGGGGGGTGGCAGTCAGAGATGCCACCCAAGTCTCATAGCACCAGCCCCTCACTGACCCTCTGCAGGTGGTGAGTCCACAGGAGGACGGCTGCTCTCTGAGTGAGAGCATAGCCTTGATCTTTCAGTGGGGGCTTTGGGCAAAGTGGGGTTAAGTGTCTTGC